GTATTTTGCAAATTTTGTTACTGTTGGACTGCTTTTGCTGATTTCAATGGGAGTTCTCTGCCTCCTGAATTTGGATGTCTGTTTCCTTCCCCAGATTAAAGAAATTTTTAGACATCATCACTTCAAATAAATTTTCTGCCCCCTTTTCTCTCTTCTTCTTCTAGGACTCCCATAATATGACTGCTATTATGTTTGGTGGAGCCAATGAGTTCCCTAAGTCTATTCTTGTGTTGCATAGTTCTTCTTTCTCTCTTTTCTTCAGCTTCATTGCTTTCCATTAATTTGTCTTTACATCACTATTTGTTTATCTGCATCTCCCGGCCTGCTGTTCATTTCATCAAGAATATTTCTAATCATATTTATTGCACTTTTCATCTTTGATTGTTTTTTTTTAACTCTTTGATCTCTGTGGTAATGGTCTCCTTATATCTTCTATTCTTTTTTCAAACCCAGTGAATATCCTTATGATTGTTGCTTTAAATTCTCCATCAGGAATGTTATTCATAAGCTCTTTTGCTTAGATCTCTGGCTATGACCTTATCTTATTATTTTATTTGGGATAACTTCCTCCATCTTCACATTTTGTCTAAGTCTCTGCCTTCTTCTCTATGTTAGAAAAGCCAGTTATGACTACTGCTCCTTAAAGTAATGGCCTTATGAAGAAGAGTCACATAGTGCCCAGAGCCTGGCACTTCAGGGAGTGTTTCTAGTGTGTGTTGTATGTGCTCTGCTGTTGCATTTTGGCTGCTCTGTCCTTCAGGCCAGTCATCTGCAGAGGTTCTCCTTGTCTGCTATGGGCAGTGTTTGGACCCTGATCTGAATGTGGCAAGTTTTAACTAGGTGTGCTCTGGTCTGCTTGTGAAATAAGACCTGTCACCACCTCCACTGGATCTGAGGCCCTACAGAACTTTCTGGTGATGTGGTGTGGGCAGGGGTTTCTGCAGGTTTTATGGGGAATGGGCCTGATGCATGTGGGACTGAGAAGGGCAGTCCCACTGGAGTGCAGGGTGGTGGGGCTTAGTGCATGGAAGTTATATAGCCAGTGTCAGTGCTGTGCTGATTCCCACAAGTGTCTCTGTGTTTATACTGAGGGGCTGGTGAAGGAAATGGTTCTGGCCAGCTCCTTTGTTTCCAGAGATGTGTCTCTGTGAATAATCCTTCTCAGGGATGTGCTCCAAGAAGAGCAAATAATCTCCCCACTCTGTGCCCCAGGCTTTCTTCATATTGCTGTTTCCATACTGTCTGCCCCTGCATTTTTGCCTGCCTTCTCTCCAGAAGAAGCATAGTGTCCTTGGGGCTCTAGCTGTGCCAAGTTCACTGACCTTTAAAACTCCAGTATTTAAGCCTGACTGGTTGCAAGAACTCACAAAATTCAACCCCTCTTATTTTTCAACCCAATGGCTTTGGGGAAATGTTTTCCTTGTGCCTTCCCCTATGTACTCCTGTCTCTCTTGCCATTCTCTGTGACCATGCTCCCTCCCCTCTGCAGCACCTGCAATCCATTTCACCCCTAAACTATGTCTCCACACTTCCTACTTTCTTTGATGTGTCTTCTTACCACCTCCCCCACCCGCCCCACCTTACTTGTGGAGTTTGTTCTGTCACCCTTCAGGTCTATGTCTGGAGTATTTAAGAGATTGATATCTAGTTGCATTCATGGGAAGAGGTGAGACTAGGGTCCTCCTACTCCACCACCATCTTCCTTTACACAATAACTTTGAATTTTTTGTCAGGCAATTCATAAATCTACATTTCCTTGGGGTTAATTTACTGAAGCTTGATTAGTTTCCTTTGGTGGTTTCATGTGTGCCTGATTCTTGATTCATGATTTATATAAACTAGCACTGATGTCTGTATATTTCAAGGAAAAAAACGCCTCTTCCTTTCTTTATATACTGTTGTCAGTAAGACTCTCCTAAATCCCCAGGCTAATGGAACTGTTTCTGTGATCACAGTTGAAGAGGGCTTGAATTAGGCCATGTGGCTGCTGCCATATCTACAGTCGGGTTCATGGTTGGCAGGCCTATTACTGAGGGTTCAGGCAAGCAAGGTTCCTGTTCTTTCAACAGGTAGGTGGGACTGCCTCTGAGATCATAGTCAAAAAGGGCTGGGGCCAAGTCTCAGAGTTGTTTCTGTGTCCACAATCAAGTCTGTACATGGTGGGCTTATCATCAGGGCCTTGGAAGGTGTGGTTACTGTAGATTCCCTGTGCGGGCAGAACTTTCCCCAGACCATTGCAAAATGGGGTTGGAACTAAGTCTCAGGGCCACGTCAGTGTCCATAGACAAGACTGCTGTCAGTGGTACTATTACCAGGAATGCAGAAAGGCATCACACGGCTCCTGGGCAGGCAAGGGAGGCAGGGCTGACTCTAGGCCACAGTATAGCAGAACTGGAGCCAAGTCTCAGGGCTATGTCAAGATCTACAGTTGAGACTAAAGTCAGTGGGCTGGTTACCAGGGGCAGAGATGGGTGTGTTTCCTCTCATGGGGGAAGAGTGACTCCAGACTGTGGCAGAACAGGACTAGGGCCAGGCCATAGGGCCACTTCAGTATTCACAGTCAGAGATTGGAAAACTACTACCAGGGACACAGATGGGCATAGCTCTTCTAGGGTCCCTTCGTGAATGAGGCTGCTTTCAAGACCACAACCAAGCAGCACTGGAGCTGAGTCCATAGCGGGATGAGACTGTTTTCAGTCTGCAGCGGGGACCATGTTTAGTTAGCCTACCATTAAGGTATGGGCCTGCCTTCTCAAAGCAGCTTTCTTTAGTCTTGGGCCCGCTGGAGTTTCACAATCTCCTACCTGGATCCCAAAGCTCCCACAAAGGCACTTTTATCCATGGATGGCTGCCAGATCACAGTTTGTCTTGGGGCATACAAGCTAGGAATTTCCTACTTTGTCATTTTGTTCCATCTATTTAAAAAAAAATATTATAGTTTTAATTTCTAGAATTCCCATTTTGTTCATGCTTATAATTTCCATTTTTCTTATGAGATCTATTAACACATCTGTCATAATTTTCTATGCATTCTTCAAAATAGACTTAAAATATTTTCTGTGCTCCTCCTAAAATATGGTCATCTGCCATCAGTTTTAAGGATTATGGGTTACATTTTTTGCTTCATCTTGCCTCATTCTTTTTTGTACATTGTACATTTCATGTAGAGCAAAAGTGGAAACTTATTTGCACTGTCTTTTTCATTTTGTTTTAGACAGTATGTAGTTGCTTGGGGGAAAGAATTATCATTCAAATTTCACCATAAGTCCAATTTATCTGAAACTGAGGAGTAGCTTTTATATTATACCATCTGCCTATCCTTATAAGCACATCTGTATTTTTATTTGTGTGCATGCTATATTTATAAATCATAAATATTATCTTAACTCTTCAAATATTTTGCTATCTTGAGGAATTTTATTTGAATATTAGCACCTTCCTACCGTATTTTGGTAGCTAACCAGTAATAATTGTTGCTAACTTATTCCTTTGATGGATGTAGTGGTTAATATTTTACATGTATTAATCAGATGTATTTATTATATCTATTTCTTATTTTCAATTATTTGCTGTTAATATTTGATACTCTTGCAAATAATAGTACATTAAACTGAATTCAGATGTTGGGAAGTCAGCCAGATCAGGAAAATGACAAAAATATTCTTTTTGTAGGGTATTTTTTATAACTTCTGACAGGGAATATATTTTGGATAATAGTAATGAGGAATGGGTTTTGTTTTTAAAAATCTAGATATTTGGGAGCACTTACAGATTAATGAAGGCAAGTCATAGAATAGATTTGGTTTGTATGTGTGTGTATTGAAATAAAGTTGCTCCTAGTGAGATAAAACAGAGAATGGTATAGGGTAATGATCCTATACTTTCAATATGGACATATATCTTCTCTCCAGGGACTATAGACTAAACAAATGAAAGTAGTATGACATTGTCAGATCCTAACATAATTTAATATTTTTAAGTGATATAACCTAACTTCACAGTTAACTCTTGATTCTTCTTTTTTCTATCTTATTGAATATATCAGAATTAAAAACTCCCCCACTGCAATATCACTTTATGTATCATTCTAAAAATAAGGATTCTGGGAAGTTTCTGGAGTTGCCATTATAACCAGATTTACTAAAGTCCAGTCAAATGTCTACCTGTGCTGTTTTTCACTGTAAGCTAAATGCAAGTAGTAAATTGTTAAGAGCATTAGTGTGGTGTGAGGAATGCTTATTGGTTGTACTGGTCCTGTTTGGATCAAGAATAAGCATAAACATCTGGGGTTGCTGAAGTCCAGCTGAGTGGCCTTCTATAAGACAAATAAGACTCATGTAAAGTGGTATCTCATTGTAAATTAACGATGTATTATTCCTTGGCTAATTGAATTTAAATTAAAAAAATAAATAAAATAAATTTGATTGTGGCAATGGTTGCACAATATGGCATTTACTAAAAACGATTGAATTGTACACTTTAAATGGGTGAATTATATGTGAATAATATCTCAATATCTCAATAATACTTTAAAAAAAGCAAATAAGACTCACTTTTAGTACTGCTCAATTGATGAGGTCATCAATAATCCTCACAATACGTCTCATAATACCCCTTCATCAAACTCCTCAGTAATCTCACAATACTCCTACTATGTTCTTTTCATTTTTCACATCACAGGGCATTTTTAACATCACAAGGTATTTTCAGTCTTTATTGGGTGGAATACAGCTTTAGAATTTCCCATTTTAAAGATAACCACTATATACTTATTTGAATAGCTCAGCAGAGAGAATTATTGGCCATTTGCAAAGTAAAGAACTCAGGGAGGAAACAGATGAATAAATGATATGACAGAAATGACAAAGGATCAAGCAAATGTGATGTTTGTGGCAAGGGATATCTGTATGATTAATTAAAATAGAACAAATGTTATGCATTATTTTTAATTAATTTAATGCATTGTCTCATCTGATCTATTTTTTTATAATGTTTTGCAGGTCCAAAGCTAGAACAGGTTACTGTTTTTTTTCAAGTGAATAAGTTACTTTCAGGGAAGAAAGGTGAGTGGCTATCCTGGTGCTTTTGAAATAATGTGTTTTATTACTAGTGATGTCAGTGCTTCAAATTCTGTGAGTTCATTCTTTCAGAAGCTTAAGAAAGAATATTTTTATGATAGATATTTTTCCCAGTGAGTGCCCCTAAATGGAACAAAGAATCCCCATTATTGCTCCCTTTTTAAAATATCTTTTAAAAGTAACCTGAATATCTTTGGGGGAATTATTCCCATATTTCTTTTTTTCACAATTTTGTATTGGATGAAAATAAACTTGTAGTGAAATTCAACTATGCTAACTACTGATATTTTTTAATCTTTATCTGAAATATTCACAACATATATGATCTACTCATATTATAATCAACCTTTATATTATTTTTGGTACCTCATTTGCTCTTTAAAATTTTTGTTGATTAAAGGTTTTTTTTTATATTCCCAATAGATCTTACCTAATTTTATTAGAACAATTAAAGGTAGCATTTTTTTAATGCTACATATATGGGTCCCATTTTTCAGGTACTGAATACAATATCTACTACACACTTACTGTTCTTTATTCAAACTTGCACAACATAAGCCTGGCTATGGAAATGCTTATTTGTTGGGAGGGTGCTTGTCTGGATCAATGATGAGCACAACTGTCTGAGGATGCTGAGGGACTCATTCCAGATGTCAATCTGAGGTCCAGATGAGTGGCCCTCTACTAGGACAAATAAGACTCTCAGGGCCTGGCTGTCTTTAATGACCCCTCAGTGACAACATAATACCACTGTTAGCATGCTCTTTTTCCCAGAACAGGGCATTTATGTCTTATTTTATAAGTCACCATGCACCTTTAGATATGATCAGCAATCCAAGACTTGCTTCATTTTGCTTACTTTGAATGAAAGTTGTAGAAAGATACTGATATAGAGAAAAGATGTTCTTGAGTAACAAATGAGGGAATAAAAATGATTGAAATAAGAAGGAGAGAAGCAATTGTGATGGGTAATGAAATTCTCACTTGGGCTAAAAGAAGAAAAAAATGTATGCCCATATTAAATAATGACAATGGAACCAATTTTTTACTGTTGAATATTTTCTGACACTCTGTCTTTGTTTTTCTGTCATGTTGTGCTGAGATAGAAGGACTAGGATCAGGGCTTTTACTTCAGAGAACAGAGGTGAGTAACTAAACAAAGATCCTTTGAAGCTCATATGTTATATTCTGTGTGCCAGGTCTTGAGGTCTCTGTGTGCATCTTTTCAGAAGCTTATTCAAGAATATTTTTATAATGTATCTTTTTCCTCATTGAGATCTTAGTCAAGGTTACCTACATTATTGTATCCTCATAATTTGTTCTTTCATTTTGATTCTTTTCTGCTTTGATGGAAAGATGTAGACTATTAGAGAAATTTTAACAGTTTCATATTGGATCAAAATTATTATAGTGAAATCCAAATATGCCAAAATGTTATCAGATTTCTTCATCTGCTTAATTATTGAACTTTAAGAATAGAGACTCTATGATTCATAAGGTTTTTGTGGTCACAGTGCATTATATTTCTGCCTCTAATTTAATCTTTGGGGAATGACGTGAATTGTTTCTCATTTTTGCAACATGGGACGTTGTATGTGAAATTTTGTTAGATCTCTTTAAGACCATTAAGTTTTTATATGATAAAAGTTGCAATAATTCTTTTGAAACACAAAATAGTTCAATTTTCAATACTGCTCTAGGCCTTTAAAAAGGATATTATGTTAGAGGTATTAAATGGAGAGATATGGAAATATCATATCATTATTATTTCTTACTAAAACTTGAAATACACATCCCTAAGAAAAGTTGTTTATATATTTCCTGGCAAGGTTTGTTGAAAATTGTGTGTTACCTGAGACCTAGTGGCTATTGCCTTAAGCATACGCAAAATTTTTTCTTGACAAAGTTCTGTCACAACTCATCAAGTAGTGCTTATTTTTGTATCCATTTATTATAATTTTTAAATTTACATTTATTATCTAGAACCATAGAAGGTGATTCTAAAAAACTGAGCAACTACTAATAGTCACAGATCAAAAAGGAAATTAGCTCTGCCAGATATTGAAATGAACTCTAGAACCTCAATCATTAACAACTTCGAACAGACATATAGCAGGAACGATAGGGCCTGTTTTTTATTTAAAAAGCATATTCTTACAAGACCCTACTTGTATATTTGTTACCATTAGTAGATTCACAGATTCATGGACTTGGTGATACTGTCTCAATCCATACAGTGTAACAGCACATTGATGCATAATATCTATGCAGTAAATTGTCCATATTATGATACTATATTATAGGACTCAGACATAGAAGAAAAATATAACTAACACAATAGAATCTTCCCTTATGACCAGCTCCAGCCCCTCCTCGCCAAATGCAACTCTTTTGAAAATGTATTTCACTTTTTTCTTCATTTTTTCTTTATAAAAATGTGATTATATAGTTTTGCTCTCTTTGTGACTGCATTTTCTCAAGATTCTTACTAGTCAGATGAACATTTTATTCATTACTGCAAGTTTTTTTAGTGATATCTTTTTATTTTGTATGTCTTTTAGATATTCATATTTTGTGTTATCTCCCATTCTCGATTAATCTTGGTAGGAGGGTTATAATCGTATTAATTATTTCAAATTATTTTTTGTTGTTGCCTTTTCCTTTTGTAAGTCTGCTTTCTATTTTGCTGATTTCTGCTCTTAACCTCTTTAATTTTTCTGTATTTATACCCTTCTGGATTTTTATTTGTCTATCTTCATCTGGCTTTTTGTAAAATACAATTTATTTTTTTAACCTTTCTCAATTCTAATATATTGTTTTTCACTCTAAATTTCCCTGTAAGCACATTTTAGCTGCATGAGCACAAGTTTAGCATTTACATTTTTTCTATTACTAATATAAATATATTTTCTTATTTCTATGTTGATTTATTTTTGAATTATGGAATATTTAAAAGGGCATTGCTTAATTTCCAAGAAGTAGGGCTTTTTTTCTTGATCCTTATTAATGATTTCTAACCTAATTCCATATGATGGAAAAACATACTTTGAATTGATTTCATTACTTTTGAATAGTTTTGTAACTCTGCAATGGTATAGGGTATGGCACAATTTAATAAGTATTCCATTTGCACTTATAATTACATTAATATATAATTATATCATTGTGTATTCAGTGTTCTATATATTCCAGTTAGTTCTATTTTGAAATTGCCTTACCTATATTTCTTGTATATTTACTAGTCTATGATCTGAAAATAAGTTACTCAGGGAAAGTCATGAGGGAGATAGTCATGGAGATAAGACACCTTGGTGGTTTCTGGAATGCTTGTAATATTTTTATATTGATCTGTGTCTTGATTAGTTGTTTTGTCTGGATGATGAAAATTTACTGAGCTGTACAATTTTCATGCATAGACTTTCCTACACATGTAACATATTTTAGTAGAAAGTTTAAAATATCCCATCAAATTAGTCCAAACATTAGCTAATACATTTCCTAGGAATAGTGTCTAATATTGATAATGTGTTACTTGGGATTTAAGGATTGATGTCTTCAGGATAGGTCGAGCATTCTCTTCTAAATGCAGACATTATCAATAAATCATAACATCACACTGACAGTCATACCAAGATAGATTTTCATTAACAATCACTTAAATACTATTATTAATTTCAAAGCAGAATTTGTATACTAAAATTCAGATGTTCTGAAAAAGCCATTGTCTGATAAATCATAGTTTCTATAAAATTTTTATTATAATAATTTATATTCTGATAACACATGCAAGGATGACAATGAGAGAACAAAATTTATTACATTGATAAAAAAGTGTTCCCATAAAGAATTAATCAGGATAAGCTTCCATAGTGGGAATTTTTAAGGTTCAAACATTATGTGTGTTTCTTTTCAGGTAAGTTTGAGAGTCATATTTGGTATATGGGTTTTTCTTTTCATTTGTTTTAGTGCTGGTAATGCATACTTGAGAGTGAAAAAATAAGAAAATAAATATAAAGGTATAAGTTATGTTACCTGAATGAGGTAGTGAATTAATCACACAGGATACAGAGAATTTTAATTTAGCATAATGTTTACTTAGCTTTATAGAAGTGTGTAGAATGGACATTATCATCTCACTGAAAGATCTAATAGTTACTGATACACAGTTTTGTTTCACACTGACCACACCATGAACATTTTATGACTTATTCATATGGGAGCCTAAGGGTGTGTGTATGTGTGTGTTGTGTGTCAGAACTTGATACAGAGAAACAAGAAAATCTGGTTGTTAGTATATATGGATATGGGGTCATGTTGAGTCAGACTTACATATCAACCATGCCTTACTCAACTCTGGAGTGAGCCTACAGGTCATGCATTCCAAGTAGAGATAGCAGGTTAAAGTCTTTTCACAATTATTTTCTGTCAGTATTTTCTAAATATACTGTCTGAAAATAAATCCAAGGTCATTTCTCCAGACCAGCCTAAGTATGTGGTGAGCTCATTACTTACTTTCTTACTTATAAAAAATGATAATCACATTGAGATATGATAACAAAGTTGGCATGATGGAATAGATATTGAAGTGTAAGTAATGATCCTCTTGGTTTGGCTTAAAATGATCTAAGAGAAAATTGGAAAAAACAAATGGCAGGAAAGCATTGATATGACTTTTATTTAGGGAGTTTAGCCATCTGTGTGTGTGCATGTGTGTGTGTGTGTAATAGAAATAATGTCACTAAATAGAAAAATTTAAGTTTTTTATATTAATGGAGACAAAAAAATTAAAGAAGGAACGATAAGTGCAGATCAAGTAAAAATATAAAGCTAGATCTAGGGATGCAATCAGCAGATGAGCACCTGGTAGTAATATTGTTCCAATATGGGAAAAAATTGCTTAGGATAGAGAAGAGAGACAAAGTTGATGAAAGCGAGTTTATATGAAGTGTTGTTTTGGTGGGGA